AAATTAGGCAGTACTACAATGACGTTACAATTTAAATTAAATGTTTTAGTTTTTTTATATTTCGTTACATGTCACAACGTTTGTATAGGTTAACTTCGGACATTTTTTTCGTGGTTTTTGTATTAGACCCGACGTCCATTTGTTGGTAGGTCAATGCTCAAGATTCATATTTTCATAGAGAAATTTTTAAACAGATTCCAAATAGTGTAGGCTTTTTGTATTTGTGCATTGGTATAGAATTAATATCAGTGACTGATTTAAGTGAATCTTTAATACGTCCATTTAATTTTGGAAATAAATAAGTAGTAATATTATCAATAATAATATTGTTATCATACGTTTATTTGCTTAAAACATGGTATAACAGGAGATGTACCAAGAGACAGTGTTCGTATAAATATGTTTCACATATATTAAATAGCATGCAAATATCTGATTATACAATGTCAATTGACTACTATTGTCCGAGCGCCATTGATTTGTACAGAAATACCAACACTTCTACGACGTGAGACAAGTAGTCACGAGCGATTGCAAGTTGTGACAAGCCACGTCAAACGAACACGCTAGCCATTGACTTACAAATAAATGGACGACGGGTCTAATACAAAAACCACGAAAAAAATGTCCCAAGTCAACCTATTCGAAATTTAAATTGTAATGTCATCGCAGTATCGGTGCTGTCAGTAGAACAAATGATGACTAAAGCGGAGTGTCGCGCTCTGTATACGATTTTAGCGCCTTACAAGTGCGGACACTTTTTAGCGCGGACCCGACGTCCATATAATTGTAAGTCAATGACGCTAGCGCTCGCTTTCACTCGGTCAGCTAGGCGAGTGACACCGAACGATGGCAAGGCAAGGCAAGGCAAATAGGCTGTCTATACGTTGGTATTGGCCTTCACCCAGCAACGTTGGACAAACATGGTCCTTGTATTGCTGACTTTATAAAATAAGAATTTTTAGTAGTTAGAGTAGTCAGTGGGAAAAAATCGGAAACGAGTGGATAATTTTGTTTTCAGGAACTGAGAATGCCTAGTAAATGATAATAGTATTAGTTAGTAGTAGATAACGATAATAGTACTATTATTGACAATATTACTCCTTTCATTTATTTTGAAAATTAAATTGAAGTACTTTAGATTCACTTAAATCAGTCACTGATATTAATTCTATACCAATGCATAAATACAAAAAAGCTTACACTATTTGGAATCTGTTCAAAAATTTCTCTATGAATATATGTATAGGATTTATATTTCAAAGTTTTCTCCTTTTTATATACTCTCAATTTACAAAATATTAATTTTTTCTGTGCAAATTCACTTTTTGTAATATTTGAGTGTTTGTAAACGCAAAACAATAAATTTAAAATTTCATGTGACATTCCCGGATACTCCCATATAACCTAGAATATTCTCAAATGGAATATTGATCTACTTTAATTAAATGTTTGCATGTCGATAATCACTTATCGATAGATTATGGTATGAGACTAAAGAAATCCGTCATTTGTTCGTTCAATTTTTGTTTAGGTATGCACGTTCATTCCGTAGTTAGGGCAGCTCCTTTCTTTTGTTTTTTTTCCATCATCTAAGTCATCTAGCCCTCTCTGACATATGGTATATGACATATGGTGACATATACAGTGTTTGTAAATGTGACGGCGACAGAGATATTTTGTGGTATGGACATGATGAATGAGGTGTTCCGATATAATAACCATCGACTCGTGCACCCGGCCGAATGGCAGGGGCATTCGGTATTGTTAAGTCGAATGATTGTGTTTGGATTCGACTTAGGCGAATGATTTGGCCATTCGAATGATAAGTATTATTAGTAATATTCAAAGTCGGGCATCGCTAATCTGCAGATGGAAATGGCAAACGTATAAGAGAAGCTCCTCAACAATGTACAGCAGCTACTTTTGAAGTCATATTATGATTCGTTTTGACGAGAACTTCCACAGTAATATGCGATTCAGTTATCTTAATCATACTATAAACTTACCATTTCTTCGAGTTCCATTCGTCTGCTTAATTTATCCAGGTATAGGATCCTCTTTGTTTGTATGTTCAGACCTATAGTTTCCGTGTCTTTATCGTATTTTTCGATCCACATTTGTATTTCGTCTAACGTTTCCTACAAATCATTGCTATTATTTGTACACTAACTCTACATACTACAACGTTACGTGTAAAACATTCGAAGTGCCTTTCCGTGGAAATGGAACACCATGGTAAATATTATAATATTTATAATGAATAAAGAATTAATTAAAATACTTTCTATACTTTCACTAAGGTCTACTTTTAGTGTTTAGGTTCGAAACTCCTTTTATAAATAATATAGGTACTTGTGCTAGCAATCCCGCTCTTCCTCATAACAACACAGGATGTAAAAACAAAATCGCACCCCTCGTGGAAGAATGGCGTAAGTGACGTAAACATACATGTTGCTCCATTAGATACAGAAAAAATGAACACACACTCTCCAATTCTTTTAACTCTATAAACAATAGTAGCCGCCAGAATTGGAAATGATGTGGGTTATATTTTTCTGTATCTAATGGAGTAATAAACGTTTTTGACGTAACTCCACTTATGTCATTCTTGCATGAGGGACGCGAAATAGATTTTGTTTTGTCATATCATAGCAGTTGCAGTGCCACTCAGAGCTTTAAATGATCAAGATTTTATTCTAAATCGGAACACAATAATGCTCACATTACATAAATAGATAAGGTGGCAGTACTTCCCTAGACGAACTCTTTCATAAGGAGCTCTACTGCTACTAAATAATTAATTTAATTGAAGAGATAATTTTCTGGGGACTAGAAACCATCTCCTACAGAAATACGATTAGGTTTTTGTAGTAAATATAGCATTTGTATAATTTGTTTGAGAAGACATTTTCTTAATGTTAGCATATTGGTTTTATCAACGTTTGAATGTCAACTATAGAAGATTTATTATACTTACATTTATATTTATATTCACAAGTGCCTCTATTTCATGATGTACGATTAATTCTTTCTTCATACGGTTCATGTAATATCGGATACTGTCACCGTATACATTTTCGATCTTGTTTATAGCGTCGACATGTTGCTCTCTGCGAGCACACTCCCAGTTATCCACATGTCTACTTCGGGTCATTTGGGTTAATGAAATATCCTGCGATGGAAAGACGTTTGTTAAATGTATAATCTCGGCCAATTTCAGAATCGTACTTGTGCAGGCAATGAGCATGCGAGCAGAAGTGTAATTTATATCATTTAGTAATTTATTTCAGGCCACATGACCCACATAATATATACCTTAAGGACTAACATATACAAAACAATAAACTAAATAACTAATCTACACGAATTGCGACGTTTGGCGCAATCTAGTGTCAGGTAACCGGCCGCGTAATCGCCGATATATGACACCCTTCGGCCAGAACTCTTCCTTCATGAAGGCCGACAGATGTTGGGTTGGCACAAACGAATTAAAATTCACGTTGTGGCGGGACTCCAACCGCTCGACCCTCAGGGAATACCCGGGAAATGACTTTCACCATAAACACGATTCTGTAAGCAGTCCATTAGGCCCTAAGAGCTTACATCATGCCTCCGCTACCAACTGACGGAACGAACAAGTCGTGCACCTGATGTCAAGCGACAAGCTTGTCCATAGCAGTTGCAGTGCCATTCAAAAAACTTTAAATCGCATAAATCTGAGGGACTCTGCCACTGCGCCTGTCATCCTGAGACATAAGTTGCGAAGTCCCACGTGCAATTATTGCAGTGCGTGCGTGTTATTCCACCAGCACCCTTACACTTCAAAACCAGAACGCAGTAATGCTCACAGTACTGCTTGGCGGCAGAAACAGGTAAGGTGGCAATATTTCTCTGGACGAATTCTTTCACAAGGATCGCATCAAGGCTATTCTCAAAAAACATATCTCGTGACATTTATTTTTCGTTAGGAGCTAAATACGCATCAAGTAATGCAGGTTTAGTTTAGTAAGTTATAGTACGTACTTCAATACTTTTCTCAAGTTTATCCAATACGACATCTGCCTCATGAATAATGGTTTCATTTTTTAAGGATATATTTCGTCTACATCTCGCGAGCTCCTTTTCACGTCTGCGAAAAAACATAGGATATATCCATAATATTGATAATGTGAACTACTGTATATATATGTATATAATGTTGTTATATATACCTATGGAAGATTTAAGGAATATTTTATCGAAAATGTAACTTTTTTCTAATAGTTTTTTCAACCAAACCGGCGTTTCGGGCCCTTTACAGGTCTCATGGTCATAGCTAACTGATATTTGTCGGTGTTTCTTGTAGAAAGGACGAAAGCGCCATTTTGAAATTTTTTCATGGGAGCTTGTTTTGGGCTTTAACAACCCGCTGCCTTTCAAGAACAGTGGCCCATTTTAAAATAGTTCCTATTTGACGAGTGCAGTTGTCACAGTAATGATATGGCAGAATAGTTTTCAAACAAATTAAATGACATTTCGTCTCTATTTCTGGTTCTATACTCGATACCCTGTACGAACACTACACCAGGAGCTCTACTGCTACTATATTTATAGATGTTACCAACATTTTATTTTTCTCTGTTTCCAATTGCAACATTGCGAAATGCTTGTTACCGTCAGCGATCATCTGGATTTTATTAATCAGTGACATGTAGTTCTTGCTCAATACAAGATCCTTGTATGTGTCTATCAATACTTCGTTAAGAATCGCCCTAAAGACAAATTTAAACCTTTAATAATTATTTGTTATGCAGGCTGAAAAGTTGTTGTTTGACGCTTGTATTGAAACCTGTTCGTTCGTGGTTCAAAAATAGAATCGTGACCGTAGCGAGGGTTTCAGGTCACGAAACGAAAAACAACTTTGCTGCCGAGCACAACACACAAGTTTTCACCTCACTATATCGAGGAAAAATGATAGATAAAAGAAAACAAAAAAACAGTTGAACTTATAACAAATAAGTTTTAATAAATTAATTATCATTGTCAATTTAATGTCAACAATAATAAGAATAAAATATACCAACGGATTTATATTACTTAAATAATGTATCTACGACAAATCGCGGAATTTGAAGGGTTCTTTTTCATCGTAAGAAAAAAGTGCACCGTAGTTCGTTTGTGTGAGTCAAATTCCACGCTAGCGTCATGGGGTCCCAACTCATACAAAATATTTTTAGTACAAAAAAATAATCATAGATGCCGCCATGGATAGCCTGTTGGATATTAAGTAAGCGAAATTGGCAATTTAAGCCGTAGTTACGTAATTACAAGTAAAAACTAAAATATTTCATGATAAAAATGAATATTTTCTCTCAATCAACACATTTTTTAAAAGAAAAATACACAACTAATAGACTTTAACACAGCTATTGTTTATCAAGTCAACGCCATCTATGGCCCATACGCGCCGTCAGCTCTATTGATTTAGCTAATGGATTGTCATTTAGCTAATGCATTGTCATTTTATTTTGACCTGGTCACGCTAGATGGCCCTGATATTAAAAAACATAATAAACTACCTTCGCGTTTTGTTCCTCTATTTTGAAACGTTTCTTCAGTTTATTTATTTCTTAATTTTGTTTTATTTATTTTTTATTTTAGAGTTGTTAAATTAAATATCTAACAATATGAATGGTTTTAGTACTTAAAAACGTTTTTGATTATTTAATGATTTATTATTTTAAAACGTTGATTTTTTTATTGAATTGAACAAAACGCGCAATCGGTTGTTTACTTGTTTGTTTGTTTTGGAAGCGAAATTTTGCGAATTGACACGGATATTTTAAATGCTATTAATTAAATACGACTAGTGCTTGAAATCTGGACTCCGACGAATCTCCCATACACTACGACTTTGCTTTGAAATCTGGACTCTGACGAATCTACCATACACGACGACTTGGCTACGGAAAACTTTACTGATCTCGGTTGCAACATCATCTGGGTTTCGTTGATTTTCGATTTAAACAAAACAAAATGTCACCGGTCAAATGTTCGTATTTTATGTGCAATTACACATTCAAACAAAGATCCATGTTTCGGTTCCCAATAAGCGATCCAGCCCGTTTAAAAGTTTGGATAAATAATTGCGGTAAGTCTTTCTATATCATGTACCAGCTAAATATGTAATTGAAAAAAGTGTTGAAAAGCAGGTTTCAATGTAGGTTTTCAGATTTATTTAATTTTATTATTTCATTATAATGAATTAATTTTTGTTTTAGGTAACATGACCATAATGAATTACAATGAAAATATACTCCGTAACAGATACCTCTGTAGTGAGCATTTCGACAAAAAATATATCCAAAATGAAAGTGGACAAAGAAAGAGGCTGTTGAAATTTGCAATACCTTTGCACTATAAAGATGATGAATGTAGCAGCAGGTCACATTCACCAGTTCCATCAACATCAAAAGGTAAACCTTTTGGTTTCAGTACCAACACTGTATTACTTGAGTGAACATGATGATGATGAATTACTTGAGAAAAAAAAATCATAAAAAAGTTATATGTATTCTTATACATAAATAATTTGTATTCTACTTCACTTGAAACTTCAATAATAAATGATGTTACATGGGATGGAAATCATTCCATCATCAGTGCATAACTTGATGATCATCATCGCATCAGCGCATAACTTGAATTTTAGCAAAGCCTTCTTCTGCTGGTACTATCAAAAGTAAAATGAACATATTAATTTGATAATGAACCATTTTTAATATATTGTTTTTTTTAATATAAATATGTAAGTGCGTATTTGACCTCTATCTCACCTGATGGCAAGTGCATGCACACCTAAATAATGCCTATTCACTCTCGCCTTGAAAAGGCACAAGTTATAATGTTCAGGGTACAAGTTTCTGGGAAGGGTATTCCACTCCATAGCCATTCGCTATATAAATGTGGAATCGTAACGCTTTGTGTCAATCTTTGGAATATCCACAACATATGGGTGGAACCTAAGCCTATGTCTAGTCCCCCGTGATGGAAAGGGAAAAATTAAATTGTGCCATTCCATTGCACACTCTCCATGGTATCTGCTAAAGTTTTCATATTCATAAAATTTTAACTTATATTAAAATTTATACTTTATTTAGGCATTGTTATTATTCCGAGACTAGTGGGTTAAGTTAGTGAGTAAATGTGTTTGATTTATTTTTTTGTTTTAGTGCAAACTTCGTCACCTCTGAAAGTAATGACTCCTAAAAAGTTATATAGCAACAAAATGGCAAAAGAAAGGCTTCAACCCAAGTCACCTAGTGAAACCACAGTAGATTTTAGTACACCTAGAAGAAGAAAAAGGACTTCAGTTGATAATGATACACCAAGGTGTAAAAAATTAAAAATTAGTATAAAAAATTCAAGTAAATTATTAAAAAAACAAAAAAATAAATATAATAGGCTAAAAAAGAATTTACTGAAAAAAAATTGTGTCAACTTAAAAACACATAAATTTAAAGGAGATTTGGCGAAAGTGTTTACATGCATGCAATTTAAAAATAAAAGTAGACAATGGAATGAAGATGAAAAAAATTTTTGCTTATATAAGTCTCCAGCTACATATAAATATCTTTTAAAAGGAGGCCTGGTCCTAGCTGCTCCCACTATAATCCAAAATTGGCTGCAAGCTACAGATTGTCTGGCAGGTATTAATGAAGATGTTTTTTGTAATATTCAAATGAAATTTGCTGATCAACCAATTAAAGAAAAAGCCTGTGCTGTATGTTTTGATGAAATGAGTATCAAGACTGATTTGGAATATACAAAAAAATATGATTTGATTGAAGGATTTGAAGATTTTGGTGGTGGTGAGCGTTCCTCCAAGGAAGCTAAGTATGCACTGGTGTTTGTTGCCAGAGGAATTTACACTAATTGGAAAATCCCTCTGGTATATTTCTTATCAAATCAGAATGTCATTGCTGAAAAGTTAATAATAATTATTAAATCCATAATTAATAAATTATTTGTGATTGGATTATTGCCAAAAGTAATTATATGTGATCAAGCAACAACCAATGTCAAGGCAATCAAATCCTTGGGGGCAACAAAAGATGATCCTTTTTTTTTTATTGAGAATCCCAAAATATTTTCGATCTATGATGTTCCTCATTTGATTAAAAATATAAGAAACAATTTACTTGATAATAATTACGATTTAAATGGCAATGAAATTTCGTTTGATGACATAATCAAGGTTTATAATATTGATAAAAGTAATAAAAGTCGATCTTTGGGAAAATTGACCTCAGTACACTTGAAGCCAAACAGTTTCCAAAAAATGAAAGTTAAGTTAGCCACACAAGTATTTAGTCGATCAGTAGCGGCCGCGATGGAGACGGCGATAGCCAGTGGAGAGCTGAAGAGTGACACCGTAAAGAATACAGTTGATTTTGTGAGAAATGTGAATGATTTGTTTGATTCATTAAATTCAAAATGTAAATTTGATAGAAATCCATTTAAATGCGCAATCACTGAAAACAAAGATTCTTTAGTTCATAAAACGTTAAGTAAAGGAAACGAAATGTTCAATCAATTGAAAAAAGTTACGATTTCCAAAAAAAATGAGAAAAAATTGACGATTCCTCCCTGTTTTGAAGGCATACAGCAATCAATTAACGCTGTACTTCAGCTCGCCACTGAGGAATTTTCACAAGGCACTGAAGTCAAATTTCTTATGACAAATCGATTAAATCAAGATGTAATTGAAAATTTGTTTGGAATTTATAGAATGCGAGGTGGTTGTAACAGGAATCCAACATCAAAAAATTTAAGGTCCATGTTCCGATCAAATTTACTAAATAATTTAATCAAATTAGATAATACAAATTGTGAAATTGATCAAAGTCACTTTTTAAACACAGCTGAAGCTCAACAGCAAAATACACAACCTGAAATGTCATCATCGTCGACATTGACACACCCAATTGCTGGTCCATCAAGTGCAGTCGCCTTGCCCGTTATTTCCTCCCCACCGGTTCAATCGTATACATCTCAAGGTAATCTAACCGTTATACCCCAAAAAATAACACTGGAAACTTTTTCTGTTGTGTATTTTGCTGGCTGGCTAGGCAAAGTGACAATAGATAAATTTGATTGCTCAATGTGTAAAGGAATTTTGATTAATAATGAAGTTGATTTGGCTGATAAGAAGCAATTGTTGTTGATTAATAAAACATATTCAAATTTGACAACACCAACACTTAAAGCCCCAACTGATTTTTTGTACTGCTTAGCAAATGAAATGCTTGATTTATTTAATAACAGCATCAATATGATCCACAAAACTGATTTGGTGGCAAATTTAATGAAAAGTGCTAAGTGCATTATAAACCTCCCAGATGATTACCATGATTACACTCATATTGATTTTTTAATAACCAAATTATTTGTAGTTAAAATTCACGATTATTGTAAATCAAGAAATAAATCATTTCAAGGACGAGCCAAATTAAGAATTCTCCAACATAAATAAGGAATTCAATGATGAATTGTTGAGCCCCGCATTCGGGAACATTTAAAAAAAGGTTTCGCTTATTGATTGTCAACATGCTGCACTCGGCGATGGTCCTCGAGCCAGTGCGGTGACCAGGCTCTTGAGGTGTGGCATATTATATCTGCATTAGCTAAGCAATGGGGTCCACATATCAATAAATTATCGAAACGGCTTAGCTCTGCAGTGTACGCGATTAAAAAAATACGAAAACTGTCA